TACTACTACTACTGCTGCTGCTGCTGCTACTCCTGCTGCTGCTGCTGCTGGTACTCCTGCTGCTGCTTCTGCTGCTGCTGCTGCTGCTTCTACTGCTTCTTCTACTGCTGTTGGTTCTACTGCTGGAGCTGCTGCTTCTACTGCTGCTGCTGCTGCTTCTACTGCTACAGCTGCTGCTGCTTCTCCTGCTGCTGCTGCTGCTGCTGCTGCTGCTGTGCTGCTGCTGACGAGTATAGTTCCGTTTTTTTTTTGCACAACAACTTGCGGGAGCGTTTCTAAGAAAGTGAACAAATCGCGGGCCCCTGCTGCAACCTGAAACCGCCGAAGGTCTGCTAGCGCGCTGTACTTCTCCTGCATACACACGCAACACTGCTGCTGCTGCTGCTGCTGCTGCTGCTGCTGATGGTGCTGATGGTGCTGATGCTGCTGCTGGTGATGCTGCTGCTGATGGTGCTGCTGCTGCTGATGGTGCTGCTGACGGCGCTGCTGCTGATGGTGATGGTACTGATGGTGCTGCTGCTGATGGTGATGCTGTTGCTGATGCTGCTGATGCTGCTAATTGTGCTGCTGCTGCTGCTGCTGCTCCTGATGGTGCTGCTGGTGGTGGTGGTTATGGTGCTGCAGCTGCTACGGTGAAGCCGCTGCTGGGAGGCATACTATGGTTGCTCGCTATGCTTATGCTGTAGTTGGTGCTGTTGCTGCTGCTGCTGCTGCTGCTGCTGTTGCTGCTGCTGCTGCTGCTGCTGCTGCTGCTGCTGCTGCTGCTGCTGCTGAGAGTTTACCTGCCATAGTTTGGGGAGGGCAGCAAAAGGAACGCCTTCAAAAGCGGGCGGCTTTACGTCTTCTTCTGCATCCTGCTGCTGCTGCTGCTGCTGCTGCTGCTGTTCCTGCTTTTGTTTCAGTATCTCCTGCTGCTGCTGCAGTTGCTGCTGCTGCTGCTGCTGCGTTGCTGCACCGGCGATCAAAGCAAACAGCAAATTGCTGAAGAGGTGAGCCTCAAGAGACAGCAGCGGCCGCACATAATATATAACGGGGCCACAGGGATCCTGCTGCTTCTGCTGCTGCTGCTGCTGCTGCTGCTGCTGCTGCTGCTGTTCCTGCTGCTGCTGCTGCTCTTCTTGTTCTTGAACTGATGCTTCGCTGGTTGCCTCCTGGGTCTGCTGATCCTCTTCTCGTTCGTGCTGCTGCTGCTGCTGCTGCTGCTGCTGCTGCTGCTCTTGTGGGGATTGCTGCTCCTTCTGCTGCTGCTCTTTCTGCTCGCCTTGCTGTTGCTGCTCCTGCTGCTGCTCTTCTTTGCCTATTTTCTGTTCTTCTCTTTTCAGCTTTTCCTGCTGCTGCTGCTGCTGCTGCTGCTGCTGCTGCAGCTGTTGCTGCTGTTGCTGCTGTTTCTCCCCTCCTTCTTGTTCTTCTGCCTGTTGCTCCTGTTTCAGCAGTTCGTGTTGCTGCTCTTTCTCGTGCGTACTGCTGCCGCTCCTGCTGCTGCTGCCGCTGCTGCTGCTGCTGCTGCTGCTGCTGTCTGGCCAGCGGAGCTCAACAGCAGGCCAGCTGCTGCGGACGAGAGCAGCAAGATCATCAAAGCCAAGGGCTGTGGGGTTCAGCAGCGAGTTGAAGCAGCAGAGGTGCCGCTGCAGCAGCAAAGACAGCGGCAAACCCTCGCACCCAGCAGCAGCAGCAAGCGATACGATACGCTGACGAGCACCGCTGCAGCACAACAGCAGCAGCAGCAGCAGCAGCAACAGCAGCAGCAACTGACTGTCAATTAAACCCTTAAACTCTTGTATTCATGGAAAAGGCCGCAGCAGCAACAGCAGCAAACAACGCAGCAGCAACAAGAACAGCAACAGCAGCACTAGTAGCAGCTGCATCACCCAGACTAGCAGCAGCAGCAGCAGCAGCGGCATCCAGCAGCAGCAACAGCATCCAGCATCAGCAGCAGAATCAGCAGCATCAGCAGCAGCAGCAGCAGCACCACGACCACAAGCAGCAGCAGCACCACCACCACCACAAGCAGCTGCACCACCACCACCACCACCACAAGCAGCAGCAGCAGCAGCAGCAGCAGCAGCAGCAGCAGCAGCAGCAGCAGCAGGGTTTGTCTGACTGCAGCGCCTGAAGGTCTGGGCAAGGATTAACGCGAGGGCGGTGGGGAGGACTCTGCTGCCCAGGCGCACCCAAAGAGCTGCACGTACACCCCAAACCCTAAACCCTAAACCCTAAACCCTAAACCCTAAACCCTAAACCCTAAACCGTAAACCCGAAACCCCAAACCCTAAACCCTAAAACCTAAACCCTAAACCCTAAACCCCAAACCCTAAACCATAAACCCTAAACCCTAAAAACTAGACCCTAAACCCTAAACCCTAAAAACTAGACCCTATACAACAAACCCTAAACCCTAAACCCTAAAGGCAAAACCCGAAACGACAAACCCTAAACCCTAAACTTTATACGCCCTAAAACCTTAAACCCTAAACGCGAAGCCTGAACAAC